TAAGCAATTGCCCATTGTAAACACACCTCTGTGTATCCACACATACCTGGCTGCACTGGATTGACCAATCTTCTGCTTCTAGGTAGTGGCTGATCTAGAATGGAGGGGGAGAATTAAAAAAAAAAAAAACCAAGCAGCAGATGGCCCCCTGAATGTTGTAAACCATGTTTCTCTAAGCACGGTTTCTCAACACTCTTGATATTTGGGCCAAATAATAATCTGTGGGGTTGTTTAGTGTATTGTAGGATTTAGCAGCACCTCTGCCCGCTAGATGCTAGAAGCACCCTCCACCCCAGCGTGACAACCAGAAATGCCTCCAGATGTTGCCACATGCCCCTAGTTCAGAACCATATTTGTAAAGCTTGGTAGCAACTTTTTATTTCGTATGCTGCCTTTTGTGTTTTGTTGCTAAACTTGAAATAAACATATTAATTTTTAGGTAATAAATTTCAAAAAATGTAACAGGGACACTCAACCTCTCTGTTGGTAATTATACCCATGGGACTATCATTTGCAGGCCTTAAAATTCTACTTGGGCAGTTAAAACAACATAAGATGACTCTCTTAGAAGCTTTCTTGAAATTTAAACACCATCATGACACATTTCCTATGTCAATAACTTGACTTGCCTACTCAAGTTCTTTAAGCATCAGTTTTGTCTAGCTTGGTTTTTTTTTCTTTAGAGACCGTGTTGGTCATGTGTGAATTGCCCATCTTTTTACAATCTCTGCTCAATGAGTTTATACAACAAGTCTCTGGTAAGAGACAGACGTGGGAGTGGAAATATTTCTCCTTAACCACAGGAAGGGATTTTTTACAATGCCTTTAGCTGCGGATACCCAGGGTACCTCACCCAGCAGGAAGGAGAGGGAACTGTACTTGAGCTAAACACTTTCATAAACTACTTCTCATGGAAAAGACAATCCAAAATAATGGAAATTTCTTTAAAATATCCATGTGCCTTGAGATAGAAGAAAGCCCTTTAGTTTAAGAAAAATGCACTTAAAATTAATGAATACCTTGTGACCCAAAAATATTTTTAGACATACATGTTCAAGTGTTTTGAAGTGGAGTGAACTTCTAGAGTGTGGTGTACTTTATTATATGGTATTATGCATTTACATCGATGATCAAAGAACATTGTATCTATGCAGACGGAGATTCCAAAAAGGCTGATCAATTTTAGGTGAGCCACAGCGATAACCTCTGAAGGATCTAGGAACCTAAAGAGGATCTGCCTTTTATTTAATAGAAATCTTAAAAGCAAAAATAACTGGCATGGCTTGAATGTCAATTGTTTAAAAAAAGAGAGCGAGGAAAAAACAAAACATGTTGTGTGGTCAGGCAGTCGTTTTTATCATCTAGGCATAATTTTTAACCAAAGAAACAAAACAATCAATAATGTTGTAAAAGCCACTTATATTCCAAGCTTGAAACAACTGCTTTATGCCAAAAAATTCCTGTTGCTACCTCCGTTAGTGACTGAGTAATTCAATATGTCCTGAATGTCAACATGTTTTTATTACTCAGCTAAAGTTGGCTTTGCTGGATTAAATGTCATTTAAAATGATCAATCGGCAGCTTGTTTGGGGTTGTTTTCACATTTATGAAAGGAAAAAGTTTGCCGGATACAAATGTTCTTGAAGCTTGTAGGGAAATGGTGTTCTCTGGTAAGCCCTGCCCTTCTTTTGCCATCTAACAAGTAGATAATATTCTAGGTCATTCATGGTAGCCCAGTGCTGGTTAAGCCCTTACATGAAGAAATGGTCCAGTTGACGTTTCACTGTTTCATGAGAAGTCGAACATACCATGTGACAGTAAGAGAGAAGCAGCAGAAACAGTGAAAACCCCCGTGCTTGTGGATGGAGAACTAGCCACTTTGTTTCAACTCCACAGTGGGCCTCTGAGTGGAGTGCCTTCTGCCTGGAGTCGCCCACCGTCATATGGGCAAAATGTCTTTATATCAAACTGTAAAAGACAACCAGGTAGTTTCTTAATTGCCGAAATCTATTAAAATAAACACACTAGAAAATCACATTCCCAATCCAGAGGAATTCAGTGGTGTTGTCAGCCTATTTGAAGTGAAAATGATTGTAAACCTATAAAGAGATATGGGAGGGGTTACACACAATCTGCTTTTGTTCCTCTTAATTTACTGGCTTTTTTCCCCCTAGAGATATGGTCTTACTCGGCCAGGCGCGGTGGTTCACGCCTGTGATTCCAGCACTTTGGGAGGCTGAGTTGGGAGGATCATGAGGTCAGGAGATCAAGACCATCCTGGCTAACACAGTGAAACCCTGTCTCTACTAAAAATACAAAAAATTAGCCAGGCATGGTGGCAGGTCCCTGTAATCCCAGCTACTAGGGAGGCTGAGGCAGGAGAATTACTTGAACCCAGGAGGCAGGGGTTGCAGTGAGCAGAGGTTGCACCACTGCACTCCAGCCTGGGTGACAGAGTGAAACTCCATCTCAAAAAAACAAAAGAGAGAGAGAGATGGTCTCACTCTGTCACTCTACCACCCAGGCTGAGTGCAGTGGGTTGATCATGGCTCACTGCAGCCCCAAACCCCTGGGCTCAAGAAGTTCTCCCACCTCAGCCTCCCAACCAGCTGGGATTGCAGGCATGTACTACCATGCCCGGATAATTTTTCAAATTTTTTGGTGGAGATAAGGTCTCGTTATGTTGCCTAGGCTGGTCTTGAACTCCTGGGCTTTCAAGCAATCCTGCTACCTCTGCCTCCCAAAGCAATGGGATTATATAGGTATAAGCCAGCACACCCAGCCCTCATTTGCAGGCACTTTATGTGATAATATTTGAGTTTGTCAATGTTTTCCAGTTGGAAGAGACTGTGGAAAATTAAAACGCTATTTGATGGTAGGACACACACTGGAATATGAAGCCACAGCTGAGTTCTGGTCTTAGTCTTTTTGGGATGCTCTAGCAACCTGCCATAGACTGGGAAGTTTCTCTGAGACTAGAAATTGCATCGGGAAGTGTGTCCTAGTATGGGCCCTAGGGTCATGCAGAGCCAAGGATCCTGTGTGTCATTCATAAGCTGCGTCTTTCTGAGTAAATCATCAAACCCTCTAGCTGCAGCTTCCTGGTCTATAAAATAGGAATCGCAACAGCACCTGCCTCATAAGGTGGCATAAGGGTCAGATGTAAAACCAGGCTTGTAGAAGCCACAGCTCGGTGCCTACAAATAGCACCCACTAAATACCATAGTTTTTATTACTTTGTCTTCCCTCACATTATCACTAATACAATAATCCTGTAAAGTGAGTGAGTGCTGCTCTTCCCATTTCGTGAGGCAACAGAACCTCAGGAAGATTCAGAAACGTGTCCAGGGTGGCCCGACTGAATTCCCCTTGTCCGTATAACCCCAGAGAGGGGAGCATGTCTTTGTGATGCAGATGTGCTGGCTGTAATATATTCCAAGTCTCAGTTGGACACTCCCCTTTCAAATGTGCCACGCCCAAGCCTCGCCCAAAGTGAAAAAGAAAGAACGTTGTAGAGCAGGAGTCTGGAGCACAAACCCCAGTGACCTCACAGAGGTTACTTCTACCTCTCTGAGGATCAGAAACACAGATAAAGTGCCGAGTTCATACTTGGCATTCAATAATTGATCTTCCATCACCAGCCATTCTGACGAGTGCCTATAAAAAGTGGGCATCTCCAGAATCAGGCAGTGAACACCTGGAAATTGGTACTGCTGCTTCTCATCTGGAGGCAAATCAACCTTTAACTAAACCTAGAAGGCACATATCTGTCTCCAGCCACCTCTCCAGGTTCTGCTGGAGGGCAACCACATACCTTCAAAGCACACATCCAGAAAGTAATAGAAAGGGGAAGGTGTGTATCATGTCTTTTTTTTTTTTTTTTTTGAGATGAAGTCTTGCTCTGTCACTCAGGCTAGAGTGCAGTGGCACGATCTCGGCTCACTGCAACCTCTGCCTCCCGGATTCAAGCAATTCTCCTCCCTCACCTCCCAAATAGCTAGGCCTACAGGCGCACACCACCATACCCAGCTAATTTTTTGTATTTTTAGTAGAGATGGGTTTTCGCCATGTTGGCAGGCTGGTCTCGAACTCCTGGCCTCAAGTCATCTACCTGCCTCGGCCTCCCAAAGTGCTGGGATTTCAGGCGTGAGCCACCATGCCCGGCCATGTCTTCTCTTTAAATTTACCAATCCACACCCGAAAGCCAAGACCCAACACTATGCCTCGGCCGTATTACATCACTTCACACTTAATATCCATCGCCTGACTGACTGTTCAAACATCAGTTCTGCAAATGGAGAAAGTGACTTTTGCACTGGATCCCTTTCTACCATGATCCACTATACAAAACACTGTTTAAAGGCCTCCAACGTGTGGTGGAATGAGAATGTCTGTAATTCTTTTTAAAACCACGCTAGCCTCAGTTCCCACAGTCAGAGTCACCACGCCATAGTTTTTCTTTTCCCAGAGTTTTTCACTCCTCACTCCTTTTTGCTGTGTTTTAGCCTCCCCCACCCTTCCCGTCTTTATCCATCCATCTCCCACCAACAACAGGATAATCTTTATGCTCCACCGGTTTTTACCACACAGCTCTCTTTGGAGCATCAGGACCCTCTTTCCACCCATTTCTCCTTGCAGCCTGCATTTAACACACTTTCAGAGCCCATTCATTCACAGTTAGAGCTTGCTTCCCGTCTTTCACATGGGCTCTGCCCAGGTTTAAGTTTGAGTTACAACCATGGACCTCCTGGTCACTGTGTCCTCATCTGTGGAAGGAGGCTGTCACCTGGATCATCTCTGTGGCATCCATCCATCAAAGGTCACACAACAGGACCTCCCTCCATCTCTCTGGGCCTTCATTTCTTCCCTGTGAAATAAGGAAGTTAGATAGTCAGCCCAAGCTAGGCAGAAGCAGTTGCTGTATTATTTTCTGATTCTTCTGGTTAGCGCCTCAACAAGAAACATTTTCAACAGTGTTTTCTTGCCCTTTTCCTCTGTAGACTGTAGGCTGCTTTGGGATTACGTCTATCAGTTGCTTTCTGACAGCCGGTACGAAAACTTCATCCGATGGGAGGACAAAGAATCCAAAATATTCCGGATAGTGGATCCCAACGGACTGGCTCGCCTGTGGGGAAACCATAAGGTAAAAGGGCAGACGTCATGCGAAAATGACGTCTTTATCCCTGGATTGGAAAATGATCGTCGTCTTCTGCTTTCCATTTCTGCCCATACTTACTTACTTTATTCCTTGCTGGGCAAGCAATTAGGCAGTTGCAAAGGGAGGGAAATAATTAAACATGTGTCTTTCCATTCGTTCCTGAGGCCAGGTTCCCATTAACTCTCATATCCCAGTTTGCTGAGCTGCATCATGAGTGACCCTCGTTTCCACTTTCCTTGAACTGGTCCTGCCACCTCCACTGTTGTTAGGACTGGGTAAAAGGGAAGTGCTGCAAGACTCTGACTCACAGGGGACCTTTGGGAAGTGTCACTTCTTTCCTGCTCAGTTAGAAACTCCCGTGTTGACAAAAGCCCATTTCTGCATATTAAATACTTATATTCTGACTGTAAAAATCCCTGTTATGAGCAAACAATGCAAGAAGTTTGATTGCCCCACAATTTTCCCAGACTGGGAGGAGGGAATGGAATTGAATAAAGTTTTTTTGCAGTAAGGAAGATTGCTAAAGTATGCAGATGTAAAAAGTGGGTAACCGTGATCCAAGCCAGCCGACAGGCGGACCTGAAGTAAAGCCTCACATCCGCACAGTGGCACACCCCCCAATCCACTGATTGAGAAGGCAGGGAGGCCTAGCCAGGTGTCCCCAGGCCTGCAGCCTTCTAAGAAGGCAGTGGGTAATGCAGACCATGACCAAATATGGCAAGGCCCCACTGACAGACACTTCCATGTGTGAGTCACTGAGAAAAATCCCTCTGCTACTCCCACGTTGTACCATCGCCCCAGGGCTCAGAACCACTGTAGTCTTGCTTCCACAACAGGAATTTAAACAAAAACTTGTCTTCCTTAAAATGGCAGACCAGAAACACAAGTTTGAGAAAAGGTCATTGCAAAAAAAAAAAAAAAAGAAAAGAAAAGCTGTGTGGGTCAGAAGGTGAAGGATGACCCAGAGATAGGGGGAACCTGCAGGAAATTCCTTGGGCTGAGCAGAGAGCAGTCTTGGGAAAAGGAAATAAGGGAGGCTGCTACGGGATCTACTTTATTAGCTAGGGCTCCAGGACTTCGGACAAAGGGTGATTCACCTTCGGAGTAAACCTTGGTGACAGTGAATATAAAAAGCTAAAGGGTGAGGACAGATGTGCCTGGAAGGCAGATTAGCAGGTAGCTTCCCAAACTGGCAGGGCCACAGGCAGCAGCTGAAGAGCTTTTATTTTTATAGCTCCCCCAGTGCCTTTTCTGAGGTTCATTTCATTGTGTCTTTGTGCTTTTTTTTTCTCCCTTCCTCCTTTGAACAAACAGAACAGAACAAACATGACCTATGAGAAAATGTCCAGAGCCCTGCGCCACTACTACAAACTAAACATTATCAGGAAGGAGCCAGGACAAAGGCTTTTGTTCAGGTAGCACTTCCTTTTTCTCCTTTCCTTCTTTTGGGAGGATGCTGTTTTCTTTAAATAACGGGGAGTGGGCAGGGGTGGGGGACTGTTAAGATCTCTACCTGCCTATCTGATTCTCAAAGCCATCATTGCTACAAACTGGATACCAAATACTGGTTTGTTAGGATTTAAGGAAAATATTTTTTTTAACTTATGCCCGTCCCGTAATAAAGCCAAAACTAAATGAACAGAATCTGACTCACCTTTAAAATAACGCAGTGACCAAATAATATTCTGCGGCATTCAACTCCGGTTTAGTTAAAAGCACAAAGTCAATGGCAAACAAGGAATGAAACCGGGACTTCCAGGTTACCAACCCTGTAAGGCAACTTTCTAAACCAGTATTTGTCAAAATGCAGGCAATGACCCACCGTGAGTCATGAAACAGATTGAATGGGTCCATCACAGCTTTTTTTAAATGAAGTAAGAATAGGATAGGATAGAGCTGAGAATACCAAACTGCATCACATGTAGCAAGAATGACAGTTGATTCATGAAAATGTTGTTCTAGGTGTGTATGTACACAGTGAGTCGTGATGGGAAATGTATTTCTTATAATACATTGTAGTCAGAAAAGTCTAAAAAGCTGCTGCAGTTGAATTCTTCTTTCCAGAATTCCTCATAGCTAATGAGTTTCAACCAGTTAGCCTGCCACATAGATTGTGATGCCAAGTCCTATGGGGGAGAGGAGAAGGAATTAGAAGGGGGTGGGGATCTGAAGGACCAATCAGGAGAGGCAGAAGTAGTCCTCTGGCGCTGCTAGCAGTCATGAGTGGGGCCAAGTGCAGGTTGGTAGAAGTGAGATCAACAAATACAACCTTGGGGGATGGGTTTTGGCAGGTAGGACAGAAGAGAGTGACAGGCAGGGCTAGAGCGGTAGATGTGGAATTATCTATATACAGGTAGGACGTGATACCATGTGTGAGCTGATGAGCTCACTCATATGATTAATTTATTGGAAAATGCGGAGAACCTGGTCTTTAGCATTGGGAAGGAATGGTAACTTAGGAATAGTAAAAGCAATTGAGATCTTCAAAAGAAACGGGAAAGGCTATTTAAGGAAGGGAAACAGAAGGAATAAAAAAAGAACCTTCCCTTCTCTGGCTCTACTGATGCCTTTTCTTCATCCTTCAACCTAAACTCAGTTCTTGACTCCCTTTCTTCCCACTCTATACCTTTTTTGTGGATGAACTGATCCCAACACACAACTTCATTTATCACTTCAGTGGCTGGGCTCTTAAATCTCCATATCCAGCTCTAAAATCTCCCTGAAATTCTAAATGTGAAAGTCCAAGAGCTTCTTGTAGGGTGTGTCCCCTTAAATATCACATTTAAGTATTTCAGATATGACACCTTCAAAAGAGACCCTCGTCTCAGATTAGAAATTCCACCCAGAGGCGGGTGCGGTGGCTCACGCCTGTCATCCCAGCAGTTTGGGGGCCGAGGTGGGCAGATACCAGGTCAAGAGATCAAGGCCATCCTGGCCAACATGGTGAAACCCCATCTCTACTAAAAATACAAAAAGTAGCTGGGCATGGTGGCACGAGCCTGTAGTCCCAGCTAGGCAGGAGAGGCTGAGGCAGGAGAATCACTTGAACCTAAGAGGTGGAGGTTGCAGTTACCTGAGATCACGCCACTGCACTTCAGCCTGGTGACAAGAGCAAGACTCCATCTCAAAAAAAAAAAAAAAAAGGAAATTCCACCCAGAATTCTTGAATTTTGATTACTCATCTGGGGCATCGCTGCTGTTTGAAGCGACCAACTTTGAAACTAGAGTTACCTTTGACTCTTCCTGTATCCCGGTCATTGTGCTAGATTGGCTGTTGGCTCTTCAGCACCGTTCCCACTCTATTCTGTGTTGCAGGGGCTGGAAGCCTGGGACCTACATTTCCAAGGGCTTGTTGCCAGAAGGTCCCAGGTTGGAGTCTTTCAATGACAAGCAGTTTCATGAGACCTGGGAGATGAGAAAAAGGCAAAGGCTTCCCTGACAATGGAAGCTGATGCCTGGACTTCATGATTCACATCTGGATTGACTCAACAATCTCTATCTCTGGTCCACTCCCCTGCCTCCTGAAACCATAATACAAACTGCCAGCTGCCATAAACACTAATATGATTCCCTGTGCCAGAAATGTATATGACTTTAACTTTTGCCTTTTTAATACCTACACCCTCAAGGCTCAACCTCAAGTCTATTGCCCTGAATGAGGCCTTCTTCAGCTGCGCCAACCACACCTATCCGTCTTCTTCCATCATCACTTGGGTTCCTTGGCCCTTAACTACACTATGATTTGCATTTTCTTTTTTTTTTTTTTTTTGAGACAGAGTCTTGATCCTCTGTCACCCAGCCTACAAGCGCAGTGGCACGATCTCAACTCACTGCAACCTCCACCTCCTGGATTCAAGCAATTCTCATAATTATCATGACTCAGCCTCCCTAGTAGCTGGGATTACAGGTGCCCACGCCATGCCCAGCTAATTTTTGTATTTGTAGTGGAGACACGGTTGCGCCATGTTGGCCAGGCTGGTCTCAAACTCCTGTCTTCAAGTGATCTGTCCATCTTGGCCTCCCAAAGTGCTTGGATTACAGGTGTGAGCCACCATGCCTGGCCAGTTTGTTTTTCTAGAGACAGGGTCTTACTCTGTTGCCCAGGCGGGAGTGCAGTGGTGTGACCATAGCCACTGCAGTCTCAAACTCTGTGCTCAAGCAGTCCTCCTGCCTCAGCATCCTGAATAGCTAGGACTACAGGATTTCTGTTTTTAATACAGGTTGAGTATCCCTTATCTGGAATGCTTGGGACCAGAATTGTTTCCAGTTTTCGGTTAGGGATGCTCAGCCTGTGTGAAGTCCTTCTCCTCTACAACTAGACTGTAAGCTCCTAGAAGGTAGAGGATTCTACTTTTTATCATTCTGTGTTACACCTTTCAGTAAATGTTTGTTGACAGCCTGATGTGGAATTCAGAAGCTTAATATGGGAAAGTCATCAAAAGACGAAAGGGATGGTTGGGGGGGGGCAAGCACAGCATATCTGTGGAGTTGGCTTAGAGGGACTCCTTATTGACTTCAGATGTGGAGGGAGAAATTTAGTTAGGGGATAAAAGAGGAGAAACTGCAGATGCTACAAATCATACTGCCGGAGAAGTTTGGCAGTAATGAGCAGGAAAAAACAGTAAGTAGCCAGAAGATTGATAGGCTTACAATAAAAGATTTTCAGTAAGAGAAAGGAATAGTGCTATTAGTGAGGGAGAGATTAGCCCTCTTGGAGGAAATGAATGTTAGAAGCCAGACGTGCCACAGAATGAAGGTTTCTTGGTGTAAGATCCAGTATGTAATCAATCAAGTGAGATGTAGAATTGTAGGTACTCTTTGCAAGATGTTTGAGTGCTGAAGAAGGTGGACGTTTACGTGTTGAAATCATGGACTAGTGCCATTAAGCAGCTCTTTGATGAGGAGGCAGAACACAAAGAATGAGTAGGACTCCACTCATGAGAAGAGTCAGGAGGATTCCAGATAAGGGAAAAGCTGAAGATGTGTAGGAGAGCATGCACCATGATTTATACAAGAGCTGAGACCGCCAGACTGCAGTGGGTTCAAACTGGTGACTAGCGGAAAATAAGAGCTTCCTAGGTAAATACGGTAGAAGGACCTGGTGGGCAGACCAAAGGATGTATCCTTGACTTGATGAGTGGTCATTGTAGGCTTCTGCATATGGAGTAATGAGAAAATGTAAGTTCTAAGAGAGTTTATCTGGTGCAGGGGCAGAGTATATGGGGAGAGAAAGTGTGCAGGCACAGCCGGGGAGTGGAAAGGGTGCTCCTACAGGGCAGGCGGGACATCTGCAACCAGGCTGCCTTCCCCGAGCCCTGTAAATCACGGTCAAAACACGTCATTGAGGTCACTTCCAGTTTAACCCATTGAACAGGAAGAGGAAGCTTGCGTACACCCCAGTTGCAAAGGTAGGCAGACTAAAGAGGGTTCATTGCTGGCATTTTGGGTGAATCCGTGATAATGTTGTAAAAAATTCTTTTTTTTTTTCCCTTTCTAATTTTCCAGAAGCTCCACTACGTTGTCCTGTTATCAGCACTTTTCACTTAACATTTAACTATATCCTTTGAGTGAAATTTAAGTTTTGAATACCATTTCCTGGGCTCACAGTCTGGAATGGAAGTGGATGTACAGCTCTCATGAGTCTGTGAAATCTAATTCTCTAAAAGAAAGAAACATGTATACGTGATCTGGACCAAGGCTTTCTCGTATGGTCATGCAGTAATGCACCACACGGTCCCAAAGGGTGCTCACTACCTCATAGACATCCTAGACTTTTTTCTGTTTTTAATAGGATCTCACTCTTTCACCCAGGTTAGAGTGCAGTGGCCCTGGGCTCAAGGGATCCTCCCACCTCAGCCTCCCAAGTAGCTAGGACTACAGGTGCACACCACCATATCCAGATTTTTTTTTTTTTAGAGGTGGGGTCTCACTATGTTGCTCAGGCTGGTCTCAAACTCCTAGGTTCAAGTTATCTTCCCACCTTGGCCTCCCAAAGCACTAGGATTATAGGCATGAGCTACCATGCCTGGCCCTAGTCTTTTTAAATAATCATTTTGCCACTTTTCAGTCAGAGGAAGGGGTACCTTTTCCTAATTTGCACTAACTTAGCGTTAATCTCGGGGTTCGGTAGCTCTCCAGCTGTATAAGGTGATGGAGGCTTTCTTTATATGCAGGCTGGAGTTCAGAGTGAAGACAGCTTTAGGAAAGTGGAATCTCTTAACTCCTCCGCTTCTTCTTCCAAAGGTTTATGAAAACCCCAGATGAAATCATGAGCGGCCGAACAGACCGTCTGGAGCACCTAGAGTCCCAGGAGCTGGATGAACAAATATACCAAGAAGATGAATGCTGAAGGAACCAACAGTCCACCTCAGTGGGCCAGCAGCCCAGGGAACCCCTGCCCACCAGGATTGCTGGAGGTGTGACCGAGCAGGCGGGCTAAGGAGAGTGGAAAAGGAAGCAACCCAGAAATGGCAGGGACACTTCTCTTGCAGACCAAGAGGGACCCTGGAGCACCTTAGACAAACCACCCAGCAAAGGCGGGGCTGGAATTCTGGCGGAGGGCATGAGGCTGGGACTCGCATGTCACGTTTCCTTCTCATTTGGAATCTCTCCATCTGTAATTCCTCACCCTCACCCTTCCACTGTTGTTAGTTTCATGGTGTTTTTGTTTTTGTTTTTTTAAGAACATGCAGTTTGACTCTTCATCATTCATCTAGGGGAAGACATCTGATGTTGTTTTCCTGTGGAAATATATATCTATTATATATATTTTTTGCAAATCTCACAAAGTGCGGCAAGCCCAGCTGGTCAGGAGAGAGAATACTTGCAGAGGGGTTCAGATTCCTCTTTTTCCTGCCACATGGATTAGGTTTGTTCCTGTTACTGTTGGGTCTTGGCTGAAAAAAAAAATATGCTTTTAAAAAAGATAAAAGGAGAGCTCTCTTTTTCTCTCTCTCACTCTGTTCCCCCCGTGGTCCCCTCTGTTTTCCCTCCCTGCCTGCTATTGAGATTCAGATGCCTTCTGGCAGAGTTCAGCCTCTTAGTCTTGCGGATTGTTGGCACCTAAACAGAATCAGTGACCTGGGTGCTTTGTGGCCAGCAGCACAGACTCAAACACACATCCCAGCATTTGGCCACCCATCTGAGGGAGGCCCAAATCATCACAGATGCTGCTGTACTGCAGATACATGCTAGTCCAAAGAGCTGTCCCTGAGACGGCTGTGAGCACCACACGCCTAAGGCATAAGATAAGGATGAAAGGCTGTCCAAGTTAGTTGGAAGGCCTCGACAGCTTGGGATTAGCTTGGGAGCGCTGCAAAGTGGAAAATATGAAAAGATCACACAGGCCCGGCAGTCCAGAAACTGGGCAAAAATATTCTGCAGTGGGGATTTATTTTTCCAAAGCAGGTAACAGAAGCTAGTGAGAAAGAAAAACTCTCTGCTCCATTCCAAAGGCCATCTTGTGGTCAGTTTCATGCCCTCGCCTAATTTTGTTTTTTTCAATTCCTAGCCTTTTTTAAATTTCCTGGTCTCCACTGGACACAGAGCATTGGAGACGGAGGATCCCAGAGGGCAGTCTCAGTTGCAACCAGTGTTTGCCCAGCCTGGGCAGACAGGAAATTCCTCTGATACATTATTTTTTCTTTCATAGCTCTGTCTCAGAAAGGACCCATTTGTGGCACTCATTCACCTCAAAATAAGATCAATGGTATCTTATAAAATGAGGGAGTGTCACTTCTTAGTATTTTTGATGATAACAGATATTTTTAGAAAGTTGTTTTAGATTTTTTTTTTTTTCCTTTTCTAGCCATCTAAATTGACTCTTCCATTATAGGGCTCAGAAATCCAATATCTGGAGTACAATTTCTTTTAATCCATATTAGACCTGCCTTACAAAGCACCCTTCCTCGTTCCCCTCTGTTTCCTCCACTTGGCTCGGGGAGCAACTCACAGCTCCTCCGGGATACGTATGTGCCCTCAGCAGCAGCTCCCAGGTGAAACTGCCAGATCCCCGGGCTTCTCCGGAGCCTTTTCCGAATTGAGTCAGACACGGAGAGGTTGCGTCGCACAGACAAGAGGAATTTTCACTGGGCCTTACAAGGACACCAACCTAGGGTGCAGATAGATGGACTATGGTTCAAGGACTCTGGAATTGAGCTGATCAAGGCTGTCTTCAGCCTTGCTCTGTCCCTGCCTCTTATCAGGGCACAGGTACACACAGGGGTAGCCAGCCTGCTCCCACTGTCACAGGCACTTCCCATTCAACCTTCCAGGAGATCAGGGATCTTCTGTGTGAGGCAAGAGGGTCTCAGTCTGCTTGAATGGTGATGAGATTCTGCCGGATCTCAGCACGCTGCAGGTGTCTTTTGAGAGTGTTCAGTAGGACATGGTGATCCCTATTTCAGCATCTAAGATGACGGGTATTGTATCACAAATGCAGAGATTAAGCCAAATACCTGATGTGTTGTAAAAGCCACAGATTTTAAGAACAGAGAAAAAGGGATTTTTACACATCCCTCTGTATGAATATGAAATCAGATACCAGGGCATCATGCTGCTGCAATGAGAGCCTCTCAGTCTGGCCTCCTCACCCAAGTGCAAGAACTCAGCCTCTTACTGTACAAAGAAACTTACAGTTGAATTATGGAGGGAAATTCCCTTTCACCCCAAGGATTTCTGGATTTAAAGCAATATCCCAGGAAAATATGTAAGACAGGACAATACCTTCAGCCACTTGAAGAAGACATAGAAGTCACTCATTCCAAAATAATCCTTATTTCCCATCCATGTACAGGCTGAGCATCCCTAATCTGAATAGTTAAAACCCCAAAAGCCCCCAAATCCAAAACTTCTTGAATGCTACGACACCATGAGTGGAAAATTCCACACCTAACACCTTTGCTTTCTGATGGTTCAATGTACACAAGTGTTTTATACAGAAAATTATTTCAAATATCATATAAAATTACCTTTAAGCTATGTGTATAAAGTGTATATGAACCATAAATGAATTTTATGTTTACACTTTGTGCCCATCCCCAAAATCTCTCATTTTATATATATGCAAATATTCCAAGATTAAAAAAAAAAAAATCCAAGACCCAGAATACTTCTGGTCCCAAGCATTTCAGATAAGGGATATCAATCTGTACTACCAATAATGATTTCTTAATTCCCCTAACTGCAAATGTCCTCTGCATATGTTCTTTGTGAGAAGATCTGGGTAGTGCCAGCACCTGGATACGGTATTTACACACTGCAGACCCTAAAGATTTCAGATTCAATTAGCAAACTTTGATGAAGCACCTGCTGAGCACTGTGAGGTACCCAAAGGTCAATCAGCCATAATCCCTGCTTTCAGTGTTTATATTGTACCTGCCTAATCCACCCAGCATAAAATTTCTCATTTCAACACTAAGTATGAGGGGTGTTGTCAGGAGACAAATCTGAAGTCAGAAGAAGAAAATGCAGAGGAGCCCTGCCACATGATGGATGTGCACTCTCACTTGGGTCTTGAAGTTCTCATCCCTACATCTCAGGCTAGCCAGGCCATCTCCTCTCTATCAGAAGAAAGCACTGGTAAAAGATCTTGACCCAGGGCGACTTGGTCTTGCTTAAGATGGCATCACCAATGTCCCAAATCCTTTGGGGAGGAGGGGGTGTCCCCACAGAAAAAGAATAGTAGACCAGTTTTTTCCTTTCAACAGTATGTTTGGAACCCTCTGATCCAATGTCTTTTGATACTGATATCTTGTCCAAATGAGAATGTCGCTTTAGCTGAAATTCAAATGACTGTGACAGTATATACTGAAATGATGAAGTAACCACCATTCCCACCTTTCACTGCCTAGGCTCCTAGTCTGAATACATTTTTGAAATACGAACTGTCTTTTGCGAAAAAAAAAAAAAAAGAAACCTGGGTGTCAGGGAGGTGAAGTGACTTGCTCTAGGAGCAGACAGATGCCAAGAACGGAATTAGGATTAGGATCCAGCCAGGGCTTACCCTGTCTGACCCATTCCCACCCAGGAAACTGAAGATAAGAGATTTGGGAAAACACAGCAAGAAAAAAAGGGCAGTTTTCTTTGCCCAAGCATTTGGTGCTAGTCAGAGGCTGTTGTCTCTCGTCCTGCTCCTCTTCCGAGTAGAAATAAAGGGCATGACACAAGGAAGCCAGTGGGGTGGGAGGGGGGCACAATAATCCCTGCCCAGAACCCACAGAAGACTAACCTGATACTCTTGACCCAACTGCTTCAACACTAAACAACTGCAGACTCCCCACTCTTTCACACATGCCAAGTGAACATTCTTGATGATTTCTCTTTGTGACTGCAACCACCTGCAAACCAGAACGAATCTGGAATTTTCATTTTTTCCCCTTTTTGTTTAGTTTCTAATCTCTTGTTTATGAGGTGTGGGGTTTATAAGGGACTGAATCAAATGAATGTAACAAAAAAGAAAAAACAAAAAAACAAAAAAAATGCCTTTTCTCAGGGCCAGTGAGTTGCAAATAATTTTTAAAGAAAAGCCTATAATTACATCATCTCAATAAATTTTTTATAAAAAAAAAACATGAAGTCCAGAGTCTCTGCTTTTAATAATATGAAATGGAGTCAGACAAGGTGCTCCGATGAGGTAAATCCTGTCTTCACTCAATTATGGTATAAAGGGCAGTCATGGTTTTTCTCTGGCAGGAAGCCTCCACTGCAGAGCAGTTTGCAGACGATCTTTAGACAAGTGGCACCAGAAAGGTCAGAGTGAACCATTCCCACCTGAGCAGCTGCCACAGGTGGAAAAATTGCCAAGAGGAACCCTGATCAGAGATGCATGGGTCCTATGCTGTGGTGCTTGGGTCCCATGAGCTCACTGAGAACTCAGCAATACCAGGTCCTCACACAATAGCATTGCCCCTTAAATCTGCTGAGATTAGAAGTCTGAGCCTACAAGGTGATGAAGGCATAAGAGCTGGGATACATCCTCTGACTAAACACAGGACTGTAATGGTCTAGAAGGTCACACAGCTCAGAGCCAGCCCACATGCTCAGAATGTCCCAGCCAGCCTGACCAACAGAGCCACCCACCAACAAGTGGGCACTTAGAAGTTCAAGATCAAACATTCTGCAGTTGACCAGAACTATCTGCCATCAGAGGTAGGTGGAAACAAGGGGAAGAATGGAAAACAAAGCAAATGCATTGCTGTTTAGCAAATCAGATGTAGGTTCAAAATGTCTAAGAAATCAACAGTCTCAGGAAACGTTATTAGCGTACTTCTGTATTTAAGTTAACCAGGTTACTCTGTATCCCCTGAGAATGAGTGCTGAAATTTGGCCCTATATTCTGTATGATCAGAGCACAGTATCAAATAAGGGTCTAGATATTTTCTGTGGTGCTAAAAATGCATTTGAAGCTACTATTTCTATAATGCAGCGTTACAGAACTACTAGAAATGCAAATGATCAGTTCCCACCCCGAAAACTGAATCAGAAACTTAGTATGTTTTAACAAGCACTCTGGGTGATTCTGATGCGCATTAAAGTTTGAGAGTCACTGCTATCAATTTCTTTATCTTAGTATGAAAGGGCTTGTAGCAATTTACACAATAAACTCAAAATAATTGATGACAACTAATTTGCATTAATAGTACACACGATAATGCCCCATTTTCTTAATGGTAGATATACTGTGGAATGAGGCTAAGTGGACACAGAATCACATACTAAAGTCATCCTCTTGTCTCCTCAAAACCTTTTAAGCAATCAGTTTGCTGTAAAGGAGCTGTTTTCAAGGGTAACTCTTAACAGCTGACCTGCCCTTGCAAATTAGAGCACAGCAATTCATCCACTTATGCCTACTTATCTGCCTAACCAGCCTGATCTAAAAAGAAAAATAAAAGGATCATTCTCATCTGCTAACTGACCTTGGCTATCTGTCCCCTAAATTATTAAGCAGAGTCCAGATGAGCATTTAGCCAGGGCACTTGCAGAGGACTCTAGAACCACTGGGCTAGAGCAGTGCTTCTCAAACCTGTAAGTGTTATGAATCATCAGATGATCTCCGGGGAAAAAAGCAGATTTTGCTTCAGTAATATCCTGGGAAGTCTGGACAGAAGTTCTGTTCTTCTACCCTACTTTCTGTATGGGGCTTGAAGTTCTGCCCTTCTAACAAGCCAAACTCCAGGTAGTGTTGATGGTGCTGGTCCAGGGACCACACTTTTTTTTTTTTTTGAGACAGAGTCTCGCTCTATCACCCAGGCTGGAGTGCAGTGGTACGATCTTGCCTCACTGCAACCTCCGCCTCCCGGCTTTAAGCGATTCTCCTGTCTCGGCCTCCCAAGTAGCTTGGGATTATAGGCACACGCCACCACGCCCAGCTAATTTTTGTATTTTCAGTAGAGGCAGGATTCACCTTGTTGGTCAGGCTGGTCTCGAACTCCTGACCTTAGGTGATCCACCTGCCTCCACCTCCCAAAGTGCTGGAATTAGAGGCGTGAGCCGCCACGCTGCCCCAGGGACCACACTTTGAGTAGTGAGAGGGCAGTCTCCCTCAGGCCCTGACATGCTGACCATAATGCAAAGCTGACCGAACCCCTCTCTCTGTTGTTTTCCTCTGCTAATTCCTCCCTAGAATGGTCCCTAGCTCTAGTCCTGCTCTGTGAGAAGTTTGCTTGTTCCTTTTTAGGGCATCATCAAGAGTAAACAACATGATCAAAAGTCTCTTCACCAAGTGAAGGAACAGCACTTCATGTACTGACCTTCATACAGACATTCATAACCAGATGCCTCATGGTCATCGTTCTTACAGGAAGCAATGAGAACTCCAAGCATCACTGCCTCAGCCCCTAGAAAGGCCAGTCCTGATCGCCGCTAAAAGCAGACAGAAAGCTAACAGTGCCATTCTTGATGTTCTCAAAGGCATCGGTAGGATAGGTGAGCAGATCGTCCACCCAGACCGTCCAAGATGTTGACATTAAAATCAGATGATCATCTCTGTTAGTACTTAACAGATTCACTGTTTTCTTATTGTTTTTTTTTTTTTAATTAAGGCCTTCAGTCTCTATCAGATTAAGATGATAGATTTCTGTTAGTAAAAACCACTGAGGAACGACTGCTTAATCTCTTCTGAGACAACAGAAGACTATTTCTTCTCCCCAAACCCTCTGAGCAATGGCCTCCTGGAGTCCTCTGAGGTGTTTACGCCTTTTCTCTCAACCAGAATTTTGGTCGTGAGATCCCATATCAGACCATCCACCTGTTGACCTTTGCTTCCTCGGATGCCTCTGGGAGAGCTAAGCGCGACCTCGGTGCCCCAGCTTCAGGCAGTTCCATAAAAGCAACTAAATGCCTCCACGCAATGAATCGCTCATGTGCCTCTGTCCCCTACTGGAGCTCTCTAAAGGTAGAGTATTTTATGCACATGTTTACTACCAGCTGCTTGCATGGGCCTGGCACAAGGTGTATGTTAACAAGTGTTTTAAATGGGAGTGAAGCCAGAGAAACTCCTTGTTACCTTAGTTTAGGCAAAGATTTCTTGAATATGACACCAAAAAATCCGTAAAAGAAAAAAATGGATAAACTGGACTTCATCAAAATTAAAACTTGCTCCTCAAAAAACCCCATATTAAGAAAATGAAATGACAAATTACAGACTGGAAGAAAATAAGTGTAAGTCATTTGATAAAGAGCTTGTATCCAAGACAGAGAAAGAACTTCCGCAACTCAGTAAGATGAACAACCCAATTTTAAAATGGTTAAAGATTTAAACAGACAGCTCACCGAAGAACTTCTAGAAATGGTTGTTAAGCACACAAAAAGATGCTCAACATCATTCGTCACTAAGGAAAGGGAAATTAAAGCCACAGTGAGTTAACATGACACATCCACAAACGGCTATGATAAAAAGCCTGTCAATACCAAGTGCTGGCTAGGAGGTGGAGAAACGAGAACCCTCATCCATTGCCGGTGGGAATGTAAAATGGCACAGCCACTTTGGACAACAGTTTGGCAGCTTCTTTAAAAGTTAAGCATAAATTTGTCATATCCAAATAATTTCACTCCGAAGAATCTTCTCAAAGAAATGAAAACATGTCCACACAAAGACTTATACAGAAATATTTGTAGAAGCATTATTTTACTTTGAGATGGGGTCTCACTCTGTTGCCCAGGCTGGAGTGCAGTAGAGCAATCACAGCTCACCGCAGCCTGAAACTTCTGAGCTCAAGCAATCCTCCCATCTCAGCCTCCTGAGTAGCTGGGTCTATAGATATGTGCCACATGCTGGCTAACTTTTTTTATTTTTTGTAAAAATAAGGTCTCTCTATGTTGCATAGGCTGGTCTCGAACTCCTGGTCTCAAGTGATCCACTTGCCTCAGCTTCCCAAAGTGCTGGGATTACAGGTGTGTGCCACTGCACCCGGCCCAGCAGCATTATGATCATGCCTGTAATCCCAGCACTTTGGGAGGCTGAGGCAGGAGGATCATTTGAGCTAAGGAGTTCGAGACCAGCCTGGGCAACATGGTGAAACCCTATTTCTACAAAAAAATTAAAAATTAGCTGGGTGTGGTGGCACACGCCACGGTCCCAGCTACTTGGGAAGCTGAGGTGGGAGGATTGCTTGACCCCAGGAAGTTGAGGCTGCAGTAAGCACTGATCACACCACTACACTCCAGCCTGGGTGACAGAGG